GTCATTCTCCCCTTGTACTCGGCCTTGGTGAGGCCACAGCTGGAGTACTGCGTCCAGTTTTGGGCTCCACAATTCAAAAAGGATGTGGAGAAGCTTGAGAGAGTCCAAAGAAGAACCACACGCATGATCAGAGGTCAGGAAAACAGACCTTACAACGACAGGCTAAGGGCTATGGGGCTCTTTAACCTGGAAAAGCGCAGGCTCGGGGGTGATCTGATGGCCACCTATAAGTTTATCAGGGGTGACCATCAGTATCTGGGAAAACATTTGTTCACCAGAGCGCCCCGAGGGATGATGAGGTCAAACGGTTATAAACTACTGCAAGACCGTTTCAGGATGGACATAAGGAAGAATTTCTTTACTGTCCAAGCCCCCAAGGTCTGGAATAGCCTGCCATCGGAGGTGGTTAAAGCAGCTACATTGAAAACCTTCAAGAAAAAAAATGGATGCTTATCTTGCTGGAATCCTATGACCCCAGCTGACTTCCTGCCTTTGGGTGGCGGGTTGGACTCGATGATCTTCCGAGATTCCTTCCAGCCCTAATGTCTATGAAATCTATGAATATAAATCTTTAAGCATACCCTGTACATGACAGAATACATTTCATCCCTATCTGCTGTCAATATGAAAAAAAATATCAGTAAGTCTTTACCTTAAGAAGATCTATTTCTTTGATGCAGTCAGCACGGGCTTTGGCATCCATTAAATCAAAAATCTAAACACCAAAAAGACAAAAGACATTTTATTAGATAACAGAACACCATAAACAGTAATCACCATTATTTATTATTGTATAGTGCCCCAAAGTAAGCTTGAGACATTCATGGAAAAACAAAGCATGGCAAGAAAAAATGAATTTATACAAATTTAAGCACAGAGGTCACATACAAGCATAAATTGACCCATTACTACATCTTTCTTTCAGAAACCTTAAAGCAAAACAAAAACAACTGTTATTAGTCCTAATTTAATTTTCTCACTTTTTTGTAATGAAAACAAAGATTTCTATACTCAATTGCATTCTTCTCAAGCAAATATAAAATAGTATCTGCAATACAAGAGTTTGTTATATAATAATAAGTCCAAGAACATTTTTCCACAAATCAAGCCACTAGTTCCTGAGCATGAAACAATTCTATTAGCAAAAGCACATATGCTAAACAAATGAAAGTTACTGGACAGCAGTTTAATGTTCCAATAAAAACAAAGTGTAATTAGCTGGAAAACGCATTGCATCACCTCTCTCTCACTCATATTTCCTCTCCATTCTTAACTCCCTTCTTTTTCTTCTCAGACTGACTGCTAAGCTACAGCATCAGCAGATAACTTTAAATCTTTTCACTCTTCTACTGGCATCCATTACAATTCCAGGTTGGGTCCTTTGCTCTCTCCAATCTGAGCTCTCACATTAACCCTAAAGATTCTATTACCACCTTTATATATTTACTGGCATAGGCAGATCTACCCTAATCTCTGCCATTCAAGACCACATTAACATTCCAATTTCCTATCCCTGCCATGATATGGCAAGTGCACTCTCTCCAATGTGGAACTTCCCTTTCCAGCTCTCCACTGACTTGCTCTTTTTCACCAACCAGACTTTTTCCAATCTCTCAGGATCATAAACTTACTTCAGCCTCTTTCCAGTCACCTTCAATTTTTCTGAAAAGTTGTCTTCAGTTTGTTACATTGCAAACTATCCAGCGACTCACACTACACCTATGTAATTCTTATATTAATCTGCTCTATTATTTTTGTGAAATTATTTTTTTCTGATTTATATCAGCTCATTACTTTTCATCTCTTTCTACATGCTTCAAAAAAAAAAAAAAAAAAAGGCTGTGTTATGTACTCTTACGGTCATTGTGGCCTGTTTAATCAAAATGAGCATATTCCAAAGTTGCAAGCTTTTTACAGAGACTACCCTGTTTCCAGCTATAAAAATCTAGGGACTGCCTCATTAAAGGTGACCTGAATTGCGAAATAAAAGTATCTGGAGAGAGACAATGTTTAAGAAAAGGTGGATTCTAAGCCAGCAAAACTCAACATCCCAAAAAGAGCACAATCAAAAATCAATGTACTATTTCTGGCACTAAAAAATAAGAAATTTAGCAACATATGACTACTTGGCCACAGAGAATTCTTCATTTGAGATGCAATAGTCTACTGCATGCAAATCAGTCCTCGACCCCCAAAAAAGAAATCTAAGAATCCTAGAGGTTTTAACTCAAAGTATTGGTCCTCAGAGAAGATACAGGCTGTATTAGTTATCTCCCTTGGAACCCTGAGAATCAATCTTCTGTCCTTAAAAGTAAGGTGGATATGGAGTTAACCTCAAGAAAAAGATAGTACTTTCAAGTTTATTATAAAAACCCAAACTGTATCAGAAAAAACAGCAGAAAAATAGAGGGTAAAAACCAGAAAGAAGCCTCTCAATTGCTTGTTTATTAATGCTAGGATGATGGGAAATATACTGAGTTAGAGGTGATTGATAATTCAAGGTGGAGATTATGGCCGACAATAAAAACACAGCAGGCTAAATCAAATGAATGGAATGTTAACAATAAGAATAACAATTTCAGATGTACCCGAGACAGAAATGTGGCACTAGTAGAAATGCATTAGTCACCGTAAGTATTAAAAAGCAAACCAATACCGATGGGAAAGAGTTTGAGTCAAGATTAAACACCTGAATAGTAAAGCAGAAGTTGTAGTCTGCATCTGTTATAGATCTCAAAACCCGAATGAAGAAACCAATTTTATTTAATCACCTTAACATTAGACTAAAGACCTAAAAATTGGTTGGCATAGAAAACTGTAGTGATTCAGTTATCTTCTGGGAAGCATAAAAATGTTCAACTCAGTCACTAATGGAACTTCTGAAACATGTTAAAGGGTAGTACATAAAAAAGAGAAAATCCTGGAACAAGCTGGAGCCTACTGCAGACAGATAATAACAAACTTGAAAAAACACACGTGGAAAATCTTAGAAAAATATTATTTTTAAAAAGTCATGAGAGAAGACAAAAACAGACAGGTAAGCTTGTGATTTGAAGGAATCTAGAGTTTATGAATTTGGTGATGCCCATAAGGGATTCAAAATTAGTCGCAATTCATTTTGATGCACTAATTTACAGTCCATTTTTTGGTTTTACCTCAAATTCTACTTTGGAATTTGCTTTTCATTCGTCCCTTCTCCCATCAGCTAATATTAACCCATTAAGATGAAATCAATAGAAGACTGCAGCGCTGGTACCATCGCGAAGGCTTCGGCTTCTTTGACCATAGTCCGCACTTCAGAGGTGGAGGCACTGGTCCGCTGGAAAGGGACGGCCTCCACCTCACTTCAGTGGGGAAGAAGCTCTTCTCAGCCAGACTGACTGACCTACTTGACAGGGCTTTAAACTAAGCTCGCTGGGGGATGGGCAGACAACCAACAATGCAAGCCCACCAAGTGACAACTGCAGAATTAGGGACACGCATGAATTCCCAAAAGAATTCACTCCTACCCCAGAGCCCAGGGACAGGACTCTTCTAGGAGTGCTGAGAAACCTAGGACCTCCAATGGCAGGCTTACTTGCCTGCACACAAAGGCCAGGAGCCTGAGGAACAAACAAGAGGAACTGGCCCTCCTGTTCAATTAAAATCAATATGTTCTCATAGGAATAACAGAGACCTGGTGGGACTCCATCTATGACTAGACCACAGGTATTGATGGCTATACCCTGTAAAGGAGGGATTGTGTTGCTAAAAAGGGCGGAGGTGTAGCTCTCTATGTGAAGGAGCAGTACACTTCCCTACAAGTGGAGTTTGGTACCCAAGAAGGATGACTCGAGACCCTACGGGTCAGATTACGGGGAGGAACATGGTGAAGTGGATATATTGGTAGGAGTCTACTACAGACCTCCTAACCAAGAGGAAGATCTTGACCACACATTCACAGGGGAACTGGCAGAGGCTACATGTGCTCAGTACATGGTTGTCATGGGTGACTTACAACTGACATCTCATGGGAGGAGCACTATGCCAAATCTGACCAGTCACGTAGCTTTCACACCTGCGTTGATGAACTCTACTCGTCTCAAGAAGCCTATGGGCCAAATAGAGGTAAGGCTCTCCTGGATCTGGTACTAGACCAGGCTTGTCCACCATATGGCCTGCGGGCCACCATGCAGCCCTCCAAGCTGTTTCCTGAGGCCCAAAGTGCTGCGACAGGAAACGAAAGTAAAATGCTGTACTTTTGTTTCGGGGGGGGGGGGGGGGTGATGTGGTACCACTTCCAGTGAGGTCTTTGAATAGGGCTCTCTGGCCCACTGGGTGATAAAAAGTTCAGGATCCGGTCCCACATTCGAAAAGGTTGGACAACCCTGTACTGGACAAAGGGGATGATCTAGTGAGTGACGTGAGAATTGAAGGGAAGCTGGTAAACGGTGACCATGATTTGATCACTTTATCCATCACAAAGCTGGCAAATCAGTCAGCAATGCAGACATCCTTGATTTTAAGAAAACTGGCTTTCATAAGCTCAGGAGGCTGGCTATTGAGGCCCTGAGAAACCAGGATCTAATGCAGAGGGGAGTCCATGATGAGTGGTCTCTCCTTAAGGTTGCAATCCTTGAAGCACAAGGGAAGTCCATCCCAGCCCGTAAGAAAGGTAGCAAAAGGGCGGGATGACCCCTATGGATAAATATGGGACTCATGTACCTCCTGCATCTGAAAAGAGAAGCCTATAAGGGTTAGAAGTCAGGTAACATAACCAAGGAGGATTATTCGATACTGGCCCACACCTGTAGGGAGCAAACTAGGAAAGCCAAAGCTGAAACTGAACTCAAATTGACTACAGGAATCAAAGACAAAAAAAAGTCCTTCAGATACATGGGTAGTTAGAAGAAAAACAAAGACAACATTGGACACTTGCTAAACCAAATCCGGCAGCTAACAACCAACACCTAGGACAAAGCTAATCTCCTCAACAATTACTTTGCGTTGGTCTTCCACCAACCCAAGGGGGTCACCCCACCAAACAAAATGCAAGATTGTCAGTGTGTGGGTGAATACACGCCCATTATCGGCAAAGATCTCATGAGGGGACACCTTGAGAGGCTGGACATCCACAAGTCAGCTGACCCGGATGGAATGCACCCAAGAGCGCTAAAAGAACTGGCAGACATCATAGTGCAGCCAATGGCAAGGATATCTGAGAAATCGTGGCACTCAGGGAAGGTTCCTGAAGATTGGAAGAGGGCCAATGTGGTGCTTATCTTCAAGAAAGGGAGGAAGGAAGATCCAGGAAACTACAGGATCAATTTGACCCCAAACCCTGGAATGAAATTGGAAAAAAAAAAAAAAAAAAAAAAGAAAAAAAAAATCAAAGAAACCATCAAGAACAGGCTAATGGAATGCAACGTTCTGAAGGATAGCCAACATGGCTTCGTTGCAGGTAGGTCTTGCCTTACCAACAAAACTGTGGCTTGCATCTACTGATGCATCTCAAGCAAGACCCAGGAAGTCATCCTCCCACTGTATTCAGCACTGGTGAAGCCACAGCTGGAGTACTGCATCCAATTCTGGGCTCTGCACTTTAGGAAGGATGTGGAGAAGCTTGAGAGAGTCCAGAGGAGAGCCAAGTGCATGATCAGAGGACACGAGAACAAGTCTTATAAAGAAAGGCTGAGAGGCATGGGACTCTTCAGCCTAGAGAAGCAAAGGCTCAGG